ACAGGTAATGTAAATTGGAAACTCTTCATTATCAATTCCCGCCACTTAACATAAATAAAGGTTGACAATTTTATATGTTATTTGTACGATGAATATGATTATCTTTCTGTCTAATTTTGCGTGAATTTGATTGCTTTTTTCCAACGAGTATGAATTGTTAGATTAATCAACTGTTCATTACGATAAATAAAGATATTTTAAATAAATGGATTTTGCGAGTTCTAACATAAAACTCAAATGAATTTACACTATACTCCATATTGATATTAAAAATCTCAGAATTCTGCAAATAACAGAATTAAGTTTTATTCATCCAATCTGAATTTCTGTTGAAATCCATGGGATAAAGGCAAATAGTTTACATATCATAGTAACTAAAACGAATTTCCAAAAATATTTTTCAGATGATAATAAATTATTTAGATGGATTTCTTTAAACTGTATGTCTACAATTTATGAAAAAGCCAATCAGAATTAAAATGAGTGCTCTTAGAATTTTGCATAAAATTCAAAAAAGCGTAAAAGATATCTGGTACCGAATTGAAAGTGAAGCAAAACTAATCATTGTTCAGTTACAAAAATGATTAAAATTACTAAATAAGACATTACAATTAGAGGAAAAATAGGAAATACTTTGAGAGATTGTAAAAGTGTATCTAACTAAATGAATAGTAGTTTATGTAAATATAAAATAAAAAGGAAAACAAACAGAATTAAAATCTAGATATTATGTTTAACTTGAGTTGTGAACTTTACAAATTAATTTAATTTTTCTTGAAATCTAGTATAAAAAGTATTGGATAATTGATCCATTCATATGGCTACAAATCATCTCTCTGTCATCACTCAGACTATAAATCTAATTCTCAACTTGAACTCTTAACTCACACTTTAATCATTAGCCTTAACTACTAGTTCTAATCCTAATTCCTTATGTTAGTTTCTAACCTAAATACTTAGTTTTATTTAAATTACTTAAAATTAATTATCAGAAGGAGTTTTGTGGAACTTTTTACAAATTTCAATGGTTGAAATCATGAGTCAATTGAAGCTAGACCACCATAAGAAACCTGAAAGCAATGGATGGCCGTTTCGTCCTAGTATGGGACTGCTCAGGAGTGCGCATCCACGATCCCGCCTCCCGAGACATTCGAACCCAGGACCTACTGGTTTTGCGCGCTAGCACTTAACCATTAGACCACTGAGCCGGCACCCAACGGTGTTAATGTCTAACTTCAAGCAATCCCCGAAGTTGCGCCTCCGTACACCATTGCCTTCAGTGAGTTGATATCTCACAACAGACCCGGTCGAACTCCACTGGTAACGGCTTCTCACTAGAACTCCAGGAAATGCCTCTTGAAGTCAGTCACCAGTGAGCAGATGATTATTATCAATTTCGTGGATTGGTTGAGGTTAGACATTACCACCGTTGGGTGCCGGCCGGCTCAATGGTCTAATGGTTAAACGCTCGCGCGCGAAACTCATAGGCCCTGGGTTCGAATGTCGTGGGGGGCGAGATTGTGGATGCGCACTACTGAGAAGTCCCATACTAGGAATAAACGGCCGTTCAGTGCTTCCAGGTTTTCCATGGTGGTCTAGCTTCAATTGACTAATGATTGCAACTATCAAAATTAATTTTTTAATTTTATTATCCACATCCTGATTGAGTAATAATTGAATAAAATATCTCATCGACATTTTTGTAGATCACAGGTAAAGTTCTTACCAAAACGAATTTGTGCTGAACACTGTATATTAGGGAATATAGGGAATTCATATAAGAATGAAGGAAAAAATTTACTTTTACACAATTTATCGTAACTGTTCTTATGACTTTTGTGTGAATTTGTGTGTTTATGTCTTATTGACTATACATACAGTAAATATATAGCTTCTTATGTAAACATCATAATAACACATGATGTATTATTGTTACTGTTCAAAAGAAAAAAACGTATTAAACACGATATAATTTCCAAACGTTATAAACAAACTGCTAAATTGAATACTTCATTCTGTAATTTAAGTCAGTCAACAGACACACAAATTTTAAAATCCGTCTGAGTTAAAAAGGTGTCTTTAAATTTTTGCATAGTAATAAAGATTGACAATAATTTTCTAATTAATACACAGAATATATTTGTTACTGAACATCTATTCTAGTATATTCACCCCTAACAAGTGTATTTATAATCAATGGAAATTTCATTTTTACGTTGATTTGTTATATCATCCAAACTTTCATATACTTCAGTGCTTTACAGACATCTTTTTCGAAATACATTTAAATTGTTTCTTAAATGTTTTTATGAAAATGTCAATGATTTCAAACCATATATATATATATATATATATATATATATATATATATATATATATATATATATATATATATATATATATATATATATATATAGAGAGAGAGAGAGAGAGAGAGAGAGAGAGAGAGGGAATACATTGTTTAACAAATGACGTTTTAATAAATATCTTTTCTGTTCTCCCACCTTGTAGCCAAAATGATTTTGTCTGTTTCGTCTTATGGTTTAGATTGAAAAAGAAGGAATCATTCTGTTTTCAACAAATGAATAAATATAATTTGTTTTATTAGTAAAATGAGTATTTTCCTCAATTGGTGACACATTTTAGGTAAAAGATCATTTCATTGATGAAAAACGTTATTTATCTGTTCCGCTTTCCAATTAGAAACAATTTTGCTAATGATTATCAGAAATATACACAAATATGGGTTAAAAACAATATTTACAAATGACTAAGGAACCATTTTTCATGAATAAGGTAAAACTAGCAAAAAATTAATTCAGAACTATGTCTTTAAGTGAAGTCATAACAACTGGATATATTGATCATATGTGTACTTCCTTACATTGTCAAAGATATACATTTAAACATAAGTCCCCGCTTAAATATTTTCTTATTCACTGTGTTTTAGACTGTAATGAAACTTGACGTTTTTAGAAATTGAGACATGTGGATATAGTTCATTTTAAAATTAGGTAATATCAAAAAGTCAGGAAATTCAAATAGCTATTACACGATATTGAGAATTGGTTGTATTTAGAAATGCAAACCATTAAATTTAAAATCAGTAGTCTAAAGTTAACGTCCTTGAAAAGCCTGAATCCCTTCAATACAACATCTGATAACTTAATGAGCGATCATAGCTTTAAGTTTCCATATTATGAGTAAACAGATGCACAGTGAATACCTAAAACTAGTTTGTGGTTTTTCAAGTACTATCAAGCTGAACAGTGATATTTTTTCTAATGAAAAGCTAGGTTCTAATTTGCAGAATACCAACAATGAATTAGATAGTGATAGGTTAATAAAAATAATAAAACACTTAACAATACAATATTACCTACGATATATATTAGTGTAAAAAATAAGTCGAGTTAAAAAAAGTTTCTGTATGGCATAGCAGTATGAATATAACAAAGGAAAATATAATGAATAGATCTATGCTCAAATGATTATCATTACTAAATTCTCCAAAGTTTGATTTATCTAGTTGTAGTATTCAGAACAGTTTATTGATCAAAACAATCTTCTTGACTAAACTACATTAATATAATAATTATTCTTAAAGTTGTAAATTTCTGTATTATTAAACAATCCTTGTCGTAATGAACACATGTTATTGTTTCACATTGATTTTAATATTCAATTATCTCAAGCCGTCGTTATTAGAATGCAATTGTTTCAATTCTGTATTCCATCTCCGTATCATACATACAAAATCCTCTCGCTGTCACACTTTATCTAAATGTACAATATCAAAGCATTTATTTCATTCCGTTTTCTTTTCTTTTTTTTTATTTAAACGTTTAAAACATATGGTTTTCATTCATTATTTTTTTTCACAAAATAAGCAAGTATTTTTAGATAAAAGATGGACAGATGTAAGAGTATTTTTCTGTATAGGTAAATATCTCAAATACAACTCAACAATCTCCATAACCCTACCTATACTGATAAATAGTTATTTGTAAATGTAAGTGTATCTGTTACACAATCTGTTATTGTAGATTTTGACATACATAAAAGAAACCAAACGGAAGTTTATCAAATTCCTAAAGTAGCATACATCTGTTCATTTCAAATACAAATGTTCTATCGGTCTACTATTTTTTTTAATGAGATTCAATGCAATAAAAATACAATATTGAATTGTCTACATTATTTGATAATACGATAATCATTATTTCCAAGATAATGATATTAATAGGAAAGGAAACGAACCAGCTCAATAATAATATTGTTGACCGATATCGTCATTGTAATGCTTGATGAAATCGCTTTCAGGGGTGCATCGTTTGTCAGTTAATCTCAGATATTCTTTTCTGATAAATGTCAATCACTAGGAAATGACGGTTTCTAGTATTCAATAATCAAACAGCAAGTGGAAACAGAATCACTAGGTTGCTATATTCGAAGAGTTAAAAGCTCAAACTAATAGGTAATTCTGTCCATATATTTTTAGTTATACAACGAATATCTTTATTTGATTTCGAATAAAAAAATGTTATACGTTTAATGTCAATAAGAGTTATCTCAAACTGTCCGCTATGTAAGGTGTCCAGTGTAGTGTAACCTGACATGATGGATGAAGAATAAATTTAGAATGAAATGTTATGTTTGAATTGAAATACGTAATCAAGATCACATCATCCAATATGCTACACTTACTCATTAAGTTGACAGAAAAATGACCAGAAGTGTTGAGCAAGACACACATAGTGAACATAAAAGCATTACAGATAATGTCAGCTTTAAAATTAAAAATTAATTAGTAAAAATGACCTCATTAGTGATTGAACATAGACAGTTCAAACTATTTAGACAATAAATGTCTAACAGCATGATAACTTTTTAATTTATTAAAAAATACCATTCAAATAATGTTTAAGTTAAACCATTCAAAGCACCTTATATGAGAATTAGTGAATATTGTATATTTTCCATTTTTATATTCAACTTACTATTTGTTTTTCAGCATTCTGAAGGATTTTTTTGTCTTTTAGATTTGTCCATTTGTTCTCTGAAGATCTATATAAAAATAGAATCATAAAAAGTATATTCTTGTAAGTTCAGTATTTTAAACATAAAACAGTATTGTCTATACGAAAAATTGGAAAGTGGTTTGTAATGAAATTAAGAATGTGAGTTTTGGTTTTAGTTGAAACTCATCAGCTGAATGTACCTGTATTCCAGTGTTGATGTTCACATCTGAATTCGAACCTATTAATTTAATATTTCAACGCTGTGAAAGTTATCAATTATGCAAACATTTCCAGACAACCACTAGGTTGTGCCACGGAAATAACTTCACTACCCATTTTCTTACACTGAATATTTGTGGCTCAATAGTAATACTGGACAAATTCGTAGAGGATGCGTTTATATAAAAAAAAGATCAATAACAGTTCATGATACCAATGACAAAATCCAAGCAACTACAAAATACAACGTATTTTCTGTTTTTATTTATAGAAAACTAAATCAATTCATCGACTTATATGTACAAGAAAAAACTTGACTAAAATGTCATTAGAATATTATGTTTATCTTTAGATCAGAAAATGTTGTGCTTTACCAAAATGATTCAATTTAAGAACAAAATAATAGTCTAGTTTAAACTCATTTTCAATCATGTTTCAGCTGTATTAGACAATTTTCTTCAAATTAAGCTATGTTAGTTTTAACGTAAAGATATTCAGTTTTTGTATGGTTTTAGAAAAAGTATATATTTACACTGTAACAACAGTAATCATAATAGAACGACTGAACAGTCTAAGGAGTGATTCACATGTTGATTTAATAGGGCTTAATAAGCAATTTAGAATGGAAATGATGTTGAAGATATTTTTCTTCATAGAACTGGAACAATAAAATTGAAATAGGGAGATATTGTACAACACGAATCCTATACCACTGACAAAATTGATAAATACATTGTAATGCACATAATCAGGTTATTTTTTCATGTTTCAAAGATATTTTTGATTTGATGAATGAAACATGGTAAATAGAGTTTCCTAATTAATTCATTGTAAACACCACAGTCTTACAAAAGGTTAATTGTGTCTCAGAACATAAAATTGGCTGACCAAATGACAGCATCAGTTCCCTCAAGATTAGAGGTATATAATGCTGACAAGACCTATTTAGCACGAAACGTAGATCATAAATGGTCTACAGTCATATAATTTCACAGATTTAAATCATGAGTCAGTCGAAGCTAGACCACCATTGAAAACCTGGAAGCACTGGACGGCCGTTTCGTCCTAGCATGGGGCTCCTCAGCAGTGCGCATCCACGATCCCGAAACCTCCTAAGGTACAATATCGTCCCATTTTCACGTTACTCGGTCTTATGAGTGAACTAAAACTTAAATGATTGGATTTGATCGTTATCAAAAGACTAGATAGACATAATGCTGGCCGCCATACAGTGATTAGTAAATTATGAAGCTAGGATCCCGTCTAGTAGATTGACTATCACATAATCGATTAAAACCTTGTTTTCTAAAATAAAACGCATTTATATTCACTGTTCGTTATTATTTAAAATGGTTTTAAAGAAAAGTGCTCTTTTTTATATTTAAATATCAATTTTTAAAAGTACAACTCTTCACTGTAGGTTGTTACCATTTTTTAATAATAAACAATGCAAAGTTACAACATAGTCTTACACTTGAACTTATTTTATTCAGACCGGGAAGTATCGGCTACACGCTAACAAATAATACTGATAACTACCACAAATGTTAAATTACAAGGCTCGTGAGTCACGATACTTCAAATTAGTAACTGACAAAAACAAACGGTGGTTTCGAGGATTTATCGTAGTTGGATTTTTTATTTAGAATAAATATATACTAGTCATAACCGTATGCCTGGTTAATGAGACTCGACAGAGTCTAAACATTTTTCATAAATCCAAATTTTTATCATAAATGAATAATATATTGCTAAAGTAGGCCGCTGAAATAGCTGATTTAAGTAGTTTCTAGTAAATAATTCGTACAACAAGAATTAACAAAAGTCATTTTGTATGTATCATAAACATCGACAACCATACTAGTTGCAAATTTAATTGAACATAATTTAGCTGTGTTTCTGTGGGAAGCATTTATAATCATAATTTAATTTATATCATTGGATAGGTTTTCGTAATCATGTGTCTTGTTTCTAGTATCAAACAAAACATGAACTAACTTGTTGATTAATGTTAAGCGTCAAAATGGAAGATCACTTTGAGTATTTACATTCATCATACAATGATAAACAACTATATGAAAGGATAGAATACTTTCCGTTTGTCCTTTCAGATTATTAACGAAACTTACATGGATAATACACATAAGGCAGTCTAATAAACTTCCCCATGATTTATTTTCGTAAATGATTATACATCAGCTGAAAATCCTAATTTATTTAGGTGAGTAGTGAGTCAATCAATCAAACATGGATAACTTACAAATGTGTATCAGGTTGAACTATTAAGCAGTACAGGATCAGGAAAATACAACAAAACAAATTAGGAATATTGAGAGTTTAACAATGATAAACGTAGTTTAAGTGGAATGAATACAATAAGAATACAATAAAACGTATAAGACGTGCCAAATCGCAAAGAATAAGAAAAAAGAAATAAGTGAGCGAACTAATTTACTGTGACCGAATCTAAGCTCATACACCAAAAGTCTCAGATTATATAGAATATAATTGATCTATAGTCTCAAAGTAAAATGTTTGAACTCCTAGATTCGGTTTAATGGAATAATTAATTAGTTGATTGAATTGATATCATGTTTTCATTAGGTCATTCTTAGCATTGTGCTTACACATTCCTGTATCATCTAACTCAGCATACTGACGTATTCTGTAGCTAAAGATTATCTGGTGTTTTAACAATACTTCTAGGAGATTGACTATCAGACACTTGTAACCTGTGCGCATGCTTAATTTTGTGTGTGAAACAGAATGAGTACACCTGTGGTACATGCTAGTTATCTCTGTTGACATAAATATTATGTAACGTTAATCAGAAATGAAATGTCTAACAACAGAACTTTGAAAATATTGAACTGAAGAAAACAGAAAGAAAAACATAAAGGAATTGAGAATTGGAAGAATGATGAAGGATGTAAAAGAGAACTGATAGTCGATGTGCAAATTATGTATTTAATATATGCTTCTCATAATTTAGGAAGAAACTGTAATTTTGCACAAAACAATAAAATGGTCTTCTCCGCTTGAGTGTTTTTTCACTACATACCTACTAATATATATCTGTATTGATGTCTAGAAATAGAAAATTACTATGAAAAAGCCTTCTTAGCTCTACAACGTGATTGATATTAAAATAAAAATCGTCATTTCTTTCTCATTTTAAAATAAACATTAAATACTGGCTGAAAAACATTCTTATCTTCGTGTGTCAATGCACAATACAAAGATAAAAAACTAATCTATCCTTAGGTAACCTGAAATATAACTTTTTCATAGATAACAATTACAAATTGTATTAAAATAATAACATTAACGATTCATATTAGTTTAATAAAAACAAGTAAATACAAAATTTTAATTATTTCGATAAACGATCCATTTTCAAAACAAACCACGTGTATCCTATGAGTGCCTTTTGTCCATATCAGATATATATATATATATATATATATATATATATATATATATATATATATCGGAACTTTCAAAATTCAATGTATTATCATATCTAATTCGAATATTGTTCATGAATTACTATTAAATAAGGTTACCGAATATTGTAAAAACTTATGTAGACTAGTATTTAATAAAATATCACAAATAAGGATTCATGGTATAATCTTTGTCTTAATTAATTGGTTACTGAAATATTGGGAGAATAATCATACTAGTGGAATCTTATTTATTGATGAATTTTTTGGGTTATTAATTGATCAGTGTTTGATTTTCGTTGTGTTTAATTATTTACAAAAGTGGTGCCAAAACTTTTATTCAGTCTCCAGTGAATTGATCATTGAATAAAACAATGAACAATATGATGTTGAAATGAAATGTTATACAATTTCTAATATCTGTTGATAAATAAGATAAATTAATGGAACGGTTTGTTTAAACATGGTGATTATAATTACTGAATATTTACATAACCAGTGTGTCAAAATAGAAATACGTAAATTAATAATTTTTTTATTATGCTACCGATTACTGTTTTTTGTCGGTCATACGGTAAAGTGAATAGTCAATCAATGCAAATTTTAGTAAGTCTTTGTTAGGATTTTCAAGAATGAATCGATTACTGTCTCTCTCTCTCTCTCTTCACTGGGATTCTCAAGCAGATAATGTGATCTTATGTAAACAAAGAATGACGACTAAAACTGGTATAGATTTATTGAATTCAGGGGATTTTTTCAAAGATTTGCAACTTAAATAATCTGCATGGGACACTTTGAGAATAAACAGATGGAGGTTTTATCACTTCTGTGGGTAAATGATAATTGGATTAGGAAATGGAAACAAATGTATTTTAACTGAGAGCAAAATATGTTCATGCACTTATTACGTTATTCCATATCATACTGATTAGTTGCAGAATAAACAAATGTTTGAAATCTTAAAAAATATAAGAGCAACTCATGAAGCATTAAATAACTGGATGTTGAATAGGCTAATGAAGTAAAAATAAAGGGAGATAAGAATTAGTGTAAAGAATTTGATGATCTTGAGATGAAACAGAGGATATAAATTTGTGAATTCGGTGTTTTGAAACGCCAAAAAGTGAAGCACCTTGGGTGAGCATAGCATATAATATTATAAAAGTTAGACTAAACAGCTATATTGTTATTGTTAAGTTGGACTGTATGTATTAGTGGAATCCAGGACACCCATTTGTTCTATTCTGAACTTATCAGTTGAATGTACTTAGATTCGAGTATTGACGCCTACGCTGAAAGTCGAAGAAAAACTTGCCACTTTAAACAATAGTGAATTATCTACTAGGCTTCTGAATCTGTATAACCATTAAAATTGCTCAGCTGGTATAAATTTATTTGTGAGAATTTGCGTTTTCCCGTTGTTTCTGTTAAAGACGGCAACTGATTAGTCACTACCCCGATTGCTTCAGTATTACCATTTAGTGGCTGGTTTTCAGTAAAGGTGTACTCAGAAGCTCAGCAGATAATTCATCGACAAGCAACAGACACTTGATTCGAGTTTCAGTGTTGTCGTTTACACTAAGATTTAGGTAGATTCAAATATTAGCTACAATCCGTTTCTACTAAAACTTCATACTAAGGGTCAATACAGAGAGAATTACTTACACGTTTAGGATGTGACATTTAGGGTTGATCAGGTAAAATCTTCAACAGCCAAAACAGAATTATACAAATCCATAGCTGTCTAGTAACAATCAGTTCTCAATAGTTCTTTGATATATTTGTCGGTTTCTGATGATAACTATTTCTGCTTAATTGGTTCGGTTATATTATTTAAAATTTTAAAAAAACATTTGCAGCGTACTTTTTTTCGGCTGGTATTATTTTTTTTCTTATGATTGCTGTGAATAAAATATGGTATATTAAGTGCTGCTGGAGTTGAAATAGTCGTACGATAAAAACATTGTTCTTTAATTGGTTCACCATAATTTTTAGCTAAATCATGTATTAGAATCCATCTGAGTATTTTCTTATTCAACACGTACATTGAAAGGCAGTGAGGAAAATGAGAATGTCTTATTCCTAGTATTACTGGACTTTAGAGCCAATCATGTCTTTCCAGGCAGAAAGAAATGATAGAAGAAGTAAAGAAATATAAAAAACACATAACGTTCTTTGATTCGGAAAGATTTAGTACCAACGCTATTTCTTACATTTAAAAGTCTGCTCAGAAATTTATGTGAATCGGTCTCGACTTCATCAAACACGCTCTCGGTTAGAAAAAGTCTTTCATTACTAATCTGATTCGGGCTTTTAAATGTTATACGAAGGAACATTCTTCTACTATATGAGCGATTGAGTGGTGTCAACCTTTACATAATTCCAACTTTCCGTTCGAATATCTCATAATACATAGTTATTATTGATCAGTACAATTCCAATACTATTATTAGTTGATTATTCACTAACGTCCGGATTTTCATAGTATGACCGGGCTGAAACTGTCACGCGAAACCAATCAAACATAGTCCAGATAAAAAGTGAGAGATGGTGATGACTACACACTATTGATCAAGTTCAGGCTCCACTTTCTGAAGGAGCAAGCGTACACTGTTAGTTAAATCTGTAGCCAATACTTCTGACGAACACGTGTCTACACTTACAAATGGGTTGTGCATATATTTAAAGTTAGACTACCTAGTAAAATCGTCTTACCCGCTCTTAGTTCTCCAACTCAAGTCGCTTATTGGGCTCGCATAGAGGGGGTGTTCACACCAGTCTTGGACTCATACTCGAAGACCATAAAAAAAGCATTCACCTAAGATTTATGTCTTATCAGTGAATGGAGAAAACCTCAATTAAATGATTTACTCCATTTCAAATATGAAATGAGTAGACAAGCTGACTGGTTTATATTATGTGTGGTTTTGATTTATAATTAATGAACAATCATAGTAAAATATCATGTAGACGTCTGTTTCATTTTAACAACTTATGGTTTAGGGTTTTTAATTTCACACTTCATTCCAAAAAATCTTGAACAGAAACACTTAAACATAATGTTAATATCGCTATTTCGTGGATTGGTTGAAATTAGACATTAACATCGTTGGATGCCGGCCGGCTCAGTGGTTTAATGGTTAGACGCTTGCGCGCGAGACAGATAGCTACTGGGTTCGAACTTCGTGAGGGGGGCGGGATCGTGGATGCGCACTGCTGAGGAATTCCATACTAGGACAAAACGGCCGTCCAGTGCTTCCGGGTTTTCCATGGTGGCCTAACTTCAGTTGAATCGTGATCTCAACCATTGAAATTTGTAAAATTCTCCACAAAACCCCTTCTGTTAATTGCTTTCATCGTGAAACAAAAACTGTTACAATAAAATTAGTGGATATATATAGCTGTATTCGTGACATATCGATCGATATCATTGAAAATCAGGAGACGGATTGCTAACTCGTCAAACTTTGAGTGTCCTTAACAGTACACAACTGTGACCACATCAGTGAACTTATCTTGAAACTGTTGAGCCTCACAGGTAAACGCTCAGGTATTAAGATTCTGCTTTCCAATGATACCTTAACTTCTTCAACATAAACAAACGTGCATTCATTTCCGATTTGTATTAGACTGAAAGCACCACTCTTTTCACTTACCGTTGATTTTTAGACTCAGTATTGGTATTGAACGCATTAGTTTTGTATCCAGATGTTTCAGGCTAAATTATTATGAAAGAAAAGAAAAAGAATTTGTAAACTAAACTTTTATAGATAATAATCACAGACAAATATAGTGTTGTGTGTACCTCTACAATATAATCATGTATCCATTATTTTTAAGTATAAAACATAGTTTAACAACGATAAACATTTTGTTCTAAAAGTTTGGAAAAACTTTCGATTCATTCATTAAAATAATAATTTTTCTACATTAAAATTCAATGATATAGAAAATAATTATATAAAGTTGATCCCGATATGAAATGTTCTATTCCATAAATTGGATTTCAGTCTGACAACTAAATAAAAATGATGAGTCTTAAGTAGCATGAAACGCCTGTTCTATATTTCACCACTGGGCAAAATCCATTTTAACTACTTGTAATTATGATTTGAAAATGTAAAACAATGTCAAATATTTCTCTAGTTTTATTTTAGACGAATTTATAATAACCGGACAAGATGATGATACTCGTACTGATATGATTGTGGAACAAAAATGGTTATTTGATACTTGTTCAACGGAACAGTACTGATATGGCTCGTTTCAAAAACTAATGAAAGATTGCAGATGAAGATTTATCTATGAATCAAATACTAATAACAGAGAAGACAATAGAAGATGACCACACAATGTCATAGATTGATTGAAGTTAGATATTAACACTGATGGATGCCGACTCACTGATTTAGAGGTTAATGGATCGCACAAAACTGAAGGTTCTGGGTTCTAGTCCCATGTGAAGGATCTTTTGTGCACACTTATGAAATGTCCCATACTAGGACGAAACAGCCATCCAGTATTTCTAGGTTTTCAATGGTAGTCTGGCATTGATCGGTTTATGATCTCAATTAAAACTCAACAATCTCCGCAATCCCATATTGCTCATTTTATCACTAACTTACAATTGATCAAAATGTCATCAAAAATTTTTGTTAGAGATATCATTTTGATTGTCCGACTAATAGGTAAATTTGAATTCAGCGAACTGGTAAAAGTTAACAATAATTAATCAATAGTTCAATGCATGTATATACCCTACAGAATCAATAGATTGACTGCTTTAACTAACAAATATGACTAAATTACTTAGTTACACTTTGTTCTTTCCAGACGGAATTAATTTAGCAAAATAAGTAGATGAGTGAAATTAACGATTAAAGTGTTATTGGTAACCAACATCATGCTACCTTTTATATTTGCTAACTAGAAAAGTGTCAATTAAACGATTTGGTGTGGTTATGTATTCCGTTATCTGTCTCCAATTAGATCGTTTACTGATTGTTATTGAAAGATACATCCCAGCTTTCTTCCTATATAATTATTGACTTAATCCGCGTTATTAAATAACGGAATAACGGAACAAGTCACATACGAGAATAGTTTTTCAGCATGTATATTTCATGCACTCATTGATTTGAACAAATAATCAGGGAAACGAAACGAAGAGGGGAGGGCAAAGCATATCGGAGAAGGTAAGTGAACCAACTTAGTTTAGACAAGCGTTACTCGATATATATAATCACACCAAAACTAAGTTACAGGCATATAATGAATAGGATAAGCAAACAACAAACATGCGATCGTATAAAAAGTTAGGGTTAATGAGCCAATAAGTGGCAAGGTCAAAATGTGGCTTGAGAAGAATAAATAGATTGGTCTCTCCGGAAACTAGAATAGCCTGTGTGTGCAGCAGTGTATTTGTGAGCGACAATCATTTGGTCATGTTGTGTGTGTTCACAAACCGGAACGGAAGGTTAATTGTTACGCTTTTTTAAACAACAATTCTATAATCAATAATGCTAATTGTACAGATTATGAGACTTAATGAAAAATTCAACTAATAGCAAAAACTGATTACAAAATAAGTCTACTTTAACTATCCCCACAGTGGTTTGTAGAATGAATAAATTAGATGTGTACAAAATTTTGTTCGGTAAATGTTTGACTTCAGTGTTCGCTATATTGTATACACAATCAGAAACTGTCAGAAACTTTTTTCCTGCATATTTTTATATTTATTCAAATACTATAGAACTCAAATGAGTAGTAGTTGTTGTTGTAGTACTACACTAAGGAACCAACAAAAATACTGAAGTCTATGATTTCTAGCCTGCATTTGATAATTTACATCATTTGAAGTCAAAAACTAATTTTAAGATGTTTGCATAACGTTATTTGTGACCACATAGACTGTGTTTCTGAATAATCAGTAATTGCCCAAAACAGTGGAAAGCGATATGTCACTTTAAAAAGCTTTCCCTGTTAGTCAGTTTAATGGAATGTTTTCATCATGTTACCAAGTACATTATTAGACTTTCACACCATTTAAAAACATGTCTACCTATATACACTTAAAATAATATGAAGCCGGACATCCTTCATTTTATTAAGAAATATACAATTTAAACTTATAGTTTGAAGATATTTATGACATCACTGATGTTGATAGTTGTACTGCGTTTTCTGAGCCAAGTAGTTTATTTTAGAAGCGTTCATTGTCGTTCTAGACAACATCATCAGTACGAACTTTGGACTTCAGTATGATGTTCGAAGTCAGAGTAGGCAACTCCACTAAGTCAAAATAATGTATTCCTCGTTTCTTGAAAATGGGAGAGTTTCATCAAAAAACAATCTTTCACTAGAGGACAACCGTATTTTTTCCAAGAATATTTTCATCATTACGTTCTGCTAATAAATGTGAGATAGCTGATTTGCACTGCCGCAGAGTTCTAAGCTTCACTAGTTTTCGTCAACTGTCAAACTGTTATAGATTCCTGATTGTAATCATTAATAAAATACATAAGTTTCTCTAAAGATACATTCAATCAAGTACAAACTAAGCTTTAAGTGAAATTCACATATGCGAAATCCATCACTTTCCCATTAGTAATAATATTACGTAATTTGAAATGTTTAAAAAAAATACTTTATAAAAATGCATCATTCGATATCATTGTGCTTTGTCGTTGTGCCGATAAATAAAACATTTTATTAGCATAAATCCCGACTTAACAATGTTTGCAGAAAAGACGGTGACGAAATTTTATAACAGGTGTTGCTGAAGGGTGCTGATTGTAGCATGAAACCTAGGTCATGAAGTGTCGCTTCTGACAGAATATGTCCAACATGTGACTTTAAGTCCGGATAGTATCACGTGATTTATCCGCCAATCAATATACGACTTATACAGCTTCAGCACTGTGCCAAACCAATGACGTTCAACATGTAGGAACAGCTTAGAGTCCTTATTGATCCTATGTCCGCCCAGCCCGTCCACTTGAGTCCAGAACAAAGATACCAGTTTCCACTATGCGAATCATTTATTTCAGACATACTGGGTCTATATATCAACCAAACAGACCTCAACGCATCATGAAATAGGAAATAACATTTACACACAATAAAGCCAAAAAGTGGCTGTGGACGTGGGAGGTGGTAGTCAATAAACTGAACATAGCTTAAGAACAGTAAATCGTACAATACTAAATTATAAGTCAAAATAAAGTTTATAATAAGAGGAATATAAATATATATAATTTAACTATTGGATAGTTATACCATAAGAATGTATAGATAATATTAGTCAACTAATATGTCTCAGAAGTTACTCGTGATTTAATCTTCGCTAGGATATAACACAAACACCCAATATCTCCTTAACACAATACACGTTATGTTAGTTCACATAAACTAGCGACCGTATCTCAATGTGTACTAAAGGAAGAACCAGTGAAACATTAACTTGGTCATTGCTTTGTGACCAATAATTTGTATGTGTGTCAGTCACGGCCCGAATAGTTCAGTAACGACGTCTCAGACTACAAAACCAGGTGCCGCCGGGAATAATCCATCAGAGAGCACTAGTCCTCGTAAGACTAAAGGCACATCTTACTGACGAGTGCCAAAGGAAACGAAACCTAGGTTCATGATTTCCTGCCGACTTCCTTCGATCGCCTAACATAATAATGTTTTCGTAAATGTGAATGAAAATGTTCACAATAGTCACCTAAATAAACAACTAGTTTGTTGTCCATAGTAATTAACCGAAACCCTAGATAAATCACTACATTGCTTCTTTCCTTATTGAAGGTCAAAGTTACCGTGTTTGTTATAAATCATCATGAAAACCTGACATCGTTTTTAAGGCCTAAACTGATGTCGTTCATTTCAAATCATTAACAGGATTGACCTAGGACGATACAGCGTTAATTTCATTATCACTTGAAATTCACTTATGAAAAGTTTGTTAAGTAATATTTGAAATCTGTTTAGTGATTTTTATCGTTATTCATCTAACTTTGGAGTCTATCATTCAATTAAATCACGTTTTACATCCATTATAGTTACGATTATGTAATCTAGTTTTATAGACATCATATACCAACAAATTAGTGTCTATTATGTCATCGTTGACCCATATCCCTCCTAAATTCAGACTATCAGTGAGACAGTACTTACTTTGAATAGACTTCATTCAGTCAAGGTTATGGGATTATATAACTAATAACACCTATGCTTACTAACAAAAGTACATGACAATCAAGTCATATATGGAGAATATTACTGTCTAGTCATTTTATATTGGATTCAATCGTATTAATGGCATTCTAATAATTACACTACACAAGTTAATACTCTGCTCTACTTAACTTAGTGTGAATTGGTTAAGAATTGCTTAGAAGAAAGCTCTAAAGTGATATTGATGTTCGATGCTGTTCACTATTTTAGCTACTTTTAAAGATATTTTTAATGAGTGTTGAACATTTGTTTTTATTAAAAACTACTTTGAAGGAAAAAAAGAATAAATCTTAATATTCTGAATATATGATTTTTTTCGGGCATTTAACAACCGTGTACTTTGTCTGAGAAATAGAGATCGATTATGAGGGTTGTTTTCTTCTTACAAATTACTTTTTGCAATGTAATGACTTGTCAAAATACTCATACTGCTGCTATGGATAACTGTGGACATAATTAGTTACTTATTACCGTATAACAGGAAGAATACTGACACAATTTAATGTGAGAAAAAGTCAAAACTGATTACTTTTATGCACTAACTACAAATTCACAACAAATTAATCACTGGTTGAAAAGACGGATCAAAATTACGCTGAACTATATATGATTTACTTAACTAGTCAGTAGGCAAAGTGAATATATTGAACTAGAAAATAGTTAACATGATCTAACCAAAATCAAGTACATGTATATGATTTGCGCGATCAATTAATTTCAGTACATTAACTAACAATATAATAAAAATTATTCAACTACACATTTGTTTCTTCCTGACACTAAAATTACCAGTCCTTCTCACTGATAGATGATAATAAATCTTTATCAGAGCCTATATTTTCAACAATCCTTCTTATGCTTTTTTACGATAATAAAACCTCGTTGATGTACAAATTAATAGAAATAAAAACACTTAATAATGTGAATTAGATGCTCTGAGTCTCAGCAGATGAAGTCAGTGTATAAATACAATGTTTCAAAGCAAATCATGTCGAATTTCAAGGATTGAATCCTCTTATATAAAAGTACCGAAGTGTTAACATCATTTTTTGATTCAAATTACATTATTATTATATAATTGTGCTATGTATTGTTCCATCAAGTGAAGAATAATATACAATAACAATTCAGTATTGTTTAAAATACTGACATTTTTTTGTAAGTAGACTTTAGATAACTTTAGTTTACTTATCATTAAGACGATATAATGAGCATGGTTTTTATTAGTTTAAATGTCAGTGACTGAGGAAACTGATTTTCTCTAACAGTTTATAATATGTAATCAAGTGTTAAGGTGTAATTGTGAAATATCTGTTCGAATTACATATGACATTTTGTTCCATATAAAATCCATTTATTTCACTGTGACATTTATGCAGTTTATCATTCATTGTATTGATTTCATATATATTACTTTCAATATAACATGTAATATGCATTTTGTATTAACTCTATGTCTAATCTACTTTGTATTTCCCTTATTTTATCTATATGTGATGTTCTTTAACTAGTTATCGAATATCAGTAAAATAGACTTGTAAATGAGTGTTATTTTGGAGAATGAATGAAACCTGGTTCTAATATCAGTTTTTTATTCGTTCTTAGTGTCATACGATTTTTTCTGATTGCTGTGGCATTTACCAGTTTTTCTACAATTATGATGGTGAGTATAGTCCCAGTGGCAAGGTTGTTGGGTACCTATTATGACGTAAGTGAAAAGAGATTTGATCCTGCAACCTAGTAATTGAAAAATAAGTAATTTGTAAGTCAAACTATTATTAACTGTAGTTCATTGTTGTATATCAAATTATTATATATTTACTGTTGGTCAACAAGCATATATAATGTGTTACTTCCATACCTAGATATACTTTCTTATATTAAACAAAACATTGAATCAATCATAAATATATGGAAGTCAACGATAAAGCTATGGTAGCAAACCGTATTTTATGCATTTGAAATATGATACGATTATTCCATACCCAAGAACAGTGTTACATTATAGTTGCTGATTTTTTTCTTAAACCTATTTATTAGTGTGGTTATTACACAATATTCTATGGCTTTCAGGGATACATTAAATGAGGTCAATTTATGACGATTATCATCTATAAAATGATGTTATTTAGGTTAACACTCACAATCGAATTAATTTTTGCATTTTTCTTATGATACGCTGTTGTACCAAGCATAACTTCAACACGATCCAATTCTTTCTCAAATCTGGGCAATTCTTTTGTCTTCATTTCTGTATTTTTATTTGCCAAAAATGTTAATACAGATTTTTGTTCAGCTGTCTGATGTAGTAATTCACGACTCAGTTCTTCATTTCGTATAGACTGTGAAGAAAAAAAAACTATTCACAAGCATGTAGATAAACTAATATGATTACATTAATTCAGCCATGTTGATAAAATAATTTATTAAAACAAGTAGTATATATTTGCTAATTCGTGATAAAATTGTCTGTATTTCATGGATATACGAATGAGTGACTTTTAATGTATCTCTGAGTACGGATAGGATCTCTTCGTAATAACCAGAGAATATCCATTTACTTACGCCTACTGTTTTAATCTTGTTATAAGGATCTTTGAATCATTTGCCTATAGCATACTTTTGTATGATTTTTAAAAAAATGCTTTGATATTCACTTGTTTTGGAAAAAAATTTTTAAACGAATTAAAAACTTTACAGACTTTAAGTTCAGAAACTAATTAGTCGATGAAAATATTTGAGGAGACTCGTGCTATTCACCTCTTACACTAAATTGAATTTTAAATACTGTTCTGTTGTTACTACTAGATACTGAATATCGTATGATTCTTAATATTGATTGTAAATATCAAATCCATATGTATGATCTTTTTTACAATGTTTAAATGATGATCAAAACAATACTCTCAATAACTGTCATTCGTCTCTATTATAGTTTTAGAACCGTCGACGTTTTCAAATTAATGTTGAACGAGGAACACTTTAGCATTCTGCTCAGTCCTATTTCTAACTATTTAAGGTAAATGTGGCTAAGACATTTCATTTTTAGGCCAATCTAAACATAGTTAGACACAACATTTGTTCATTTATCATTATTATCATCATTATTATTAATGGCTCTATTCAGTTTTACATGTTTAGCACAATATAGAATTCCCAGCACAAAATTTTCCAACAAGTTACTTTTGCGAAATAAAAAAATCCGATAACTCCTTGCATACATACATAAATTAAGTAAACGAATTACTTAAAATTGAAATGTTTTTTTTAAATAAGATATGAATCTGTACAACTTTTAATTATAAGTAAGTTAATGTATGCAAGTAATTGACTAGGTCAGCTCGAACAACTTGTTCGTCACATAGTATATTTGCTAGATATGGCATTGTAGGGCTTTTATATATTTGCTTGCTTGCATGGATTTTAATATAATATCACTTCTTTTAAAGGAAGATATATAAAGAGAAAGATATGAATGAAGTGAATGGTTCGTCTGCGATAAGATAACGCCTGCCAAGAGTTTGCGAGATTTTAGGTGTCTATCCACAACTGTATTAACAATGACCTTAAACGATTCCCTACACACCCTGATAACTATCTTCAGCATCCACTACAATAGCGCAAAACCTTTTTTCAAGAGCTCAGAAAAGAACAATGGAGAACAGTAGGAAATAATAGGTAATATGCAAGGATTTAAAAATCGTAGGAGTAGATGTTGAGTAATGTGAAAGTATCTGATTTAATAATAATAAGTCAGATAGGAAACTTTCTTTGATATCACTGGAACATGAGAAGACTAAAAGAGATCAAATACAAAACCCACACTAAGATAACTTATCTTTGACGCTGTTTTTATCACATAATCTCTAGTAGTACAAACTTTATGGAATTCTCACAGGACCTTTAAGTGTTGTTCTCGTCTAATGCTAAAATTAACGGTTTGACATTTAGAAGAATTAAGTGTGAGACCATTAACTGCAAACCATCGTTTAATGAAGGGAAAGAACCCATTCAGTTCAAGGGAATCTGAAGAAGTGGAAGTCGGTCCGCATACTTAAAGAAATTGATTTCCATAGATGGCAGGCCATGAAGTGAAAATGAAAGAAAAAGACTAGAGAACAGCTCCTTATGGCACTCCTTCTGGAAGTAGTAAAGACGTCAAACACTTTCTTCCAAGCACAGCATACTGATCATGGCACATACTTCGTACCCTTTTCCAAGCTTAACACAAAATTATAACGCAGAACAACTGCAGTATCTAAATTACTTCTTTCTCGTTTATAAGCAAACTGGTATGGATCCATATGCCCTTTCAACTAAAATTGAAACACAGCTATTCTTCAAACTTGTGGATGTAAGAAGCATGAAATCAGATGATCAACGTACAAAAAACTTACTTGCCTCACAAACATCCAGCTGGGTATCGTCACCAAGGTATATCCCACCTGTAAGCTCTCTAAATAGTTTCCACGTATTTGCATTGTGTTTGCAATATAGGAGTTTCAGAGCAAACATCTAATTCAGACGTCTAATCTATTGGTTTATTAAACCATTTAGCTTTTGAAATTCAATAGAGTTTCTTTCCTGTACATTCCTTCCTTTTGCTTCCGTGATTGTTTTATTTGTAGAAGTGTAAGTCAATCAAATCTTATAAAAATATTTTCACTGGGCCAACAAACATCAAAGCAGAATTTCAAATAACAAGTGGCTAGATTGACAGTGTTTTCCTGAGTCATTTGTAAATGAATATTTCCTTCTGATTGATACAAAGATCAGAACTAGTCGATGGAGCACGTTTACGAGTCATACATACTCAACATCACTAATGAAAACTAAGTTTTAATGGGCATCCAAACGAGTGGAAAAAATTTTTACATTATGATGAACTAGTGATGAAAGAAAGTTATGATCACATGAATTAAAAGTGAACCGCAGAAAGCAGTAACAGCAAATCCACTGAATCGATCAAAATAAAATAAATAATCCAGATGGTTTGCAGTTCGGAGTCACGCAAATGTCTGTAACGTGAATATAATCATACATGTTCGAGTGTTTTGGACGACATCTTAAAAATAATCAGCCGATAAAGTCGTCTGAAAATGTTAAACACATTGAAATTGCAGTCTTCAACACCAACGGGGAGATTCAAGTAAACAATACCGAGTGAATTTAAACTTCACCCCATTGCACAAGCAAGTGGCTACCATGACTCAGTAGCTAAGTGGGTAACGTGATGGCGTTTGAAGTGAACGGTACTAGGTTCGAGTCCCAGAGTGAACATCAACTCTGAGATACAGGTACATCCAGCTGACAAGTCTCAAATAGGACGAAACGCGTGTCCTGGATTCCACTGCTAGCCACTATCCATCTTTGCTTAAAGAGATTGTGACTTAAGGCTATATCGAGGCAATACGCACAATGTGCACATATGCTAATAGGAGAGTGATCAATTACAGTCTTAAACATTAACGGGAAGATTAAAACAGACAACATAAAGTGTATTAAGAAATTATTTATGATGGCACATGGTAACCAAAATATATGTTTCTAATGTCAAATGACAATAATCAGTTGCCGATTCATCATTAATTCGAACGAATAAAAGATTTTATAATTAGTATTGATTGTTTGGTAGATCGCTTGTGGAGTATGTTGTTATTACAATGAATGTTCAGTGTAACACAACTTATGAATTAATAAAAAGAAAACAGTAGTTTGTTGACAATTTAAATTAATGTTTATTGCATGTAGTACCGGGCCATAATAAACACAAATCAAAACTGATAACCAGGTATCGTTAAATGTAATCTTTAGAGATAGAATTGACCTTTCAGATTAAAAACCAACTTATAAACAAAGACGCGTTTTGTCCTGTCGAGGGCTCTTCGACTGAATGTCGTTGCCTTCCATTGTTGACATTGACAATGGTAATCGGACACAGTACCCTTCGCTTCGAATTCCGATACGCTGTTCACAGAACTATTGAATCCAAACAGCCAATACGTTTTTCACTAAGGTTCACCTTACTTCGTTTCTTAAATTTTTGTCAACTCATTGGCAAGATTTTTTAATACGAAATCGCATATTTATATTATCTAACGACTGTTTATTGGTAACTTTCAAAAGAATATACCACAAAAATAGAAAAAAACATATCGACTCTAACTTGTCTTTACACACAAAAAGTATTTGTTATATTTTTTGTACATTTAGCAAACCGAAAAATTGACTTAAAGTGTTCATTTTATAAGCATTCACTCAAATAAACTACAAAAACACATTTCCCAGATATTATATACCAAATTAATGGGCGGAACCATAATTTATGGACGACCTTTGAGCGACGTTGAATTGACCTTGAGAACGTCCACTCTTTACCAGAACTAGATGAAGGTTACAAACCAGTGTGAGGAATTATAATTATGATTTACAGTTGATGGTTAGGGTTAAAAATTAGATTCAGGGTTTTCATCACGAACTGAAATCAACTAAAATGCCAAAACGCTATTTATCCAAATACATGAATGAACTTCGCGCCAAAATCCCAGACCTGTTATCTTATATCTGATTGGTTCGTCCATAAATTATAGTCTCGCCAACTGGAATCACTTTTACATGTATAATAAAATTAATGTTACAGAATTCCACAAGGCAATAGCAACAATATTAGTTCATAAAACTTCATCAGTAAATATAGCCAAAGTAACCACCTTCGAGAATTTTAGCACTGTACATTATGTGCAATTTAAACTCAATATTGAATAATAAGTAACTGGAACAGGTTTTATTAAAACAACAAAACAACGTAAAGAATCAATAAATTAATGAAAAGTAGGATAGGAGCAGAGAAAAGAAAATTAATATTTTTGAAATAAAGTAATTGATATTTGTTAATTTGGACTAGGATGACTAACACTAATTAATAAAATCTCTAATCAGTTTCGTTTACTTTCTTTTTGTACTATAGATGCATTGTTAGTTTAATGAATTACTTCAGATACAATTCACCCTCCCTCTCTTACCTTGAAAAATATTTTTAGACATATGAGTGAGAAATATTCATTGCTTCAGCAAAAATATCTGTTCATATGATCGCATAATAATGAAACGAGTTCATGTATTTATTTCTATTACCTCATTGCCCAAAGTCATGTTAGTGTTCTTGAATTCGAATCGTACTCTAAGTATGAGGACTAGTATTACTACCCATCTGATCAGATTCAAGCAGCCCAAATGGGTTTCGAACTTGAAATCTAGTAGTTGAAAGTCAAATGTCCTAATCACTGAACTACTGATATGTTTTTATCAATCGCAGTACTTATAAAACAGAGAAAATATTTTG